ATTTATTGTTAGCATTTAAGTGCCTTACTACAGGTCTAAAATGCTTTGATAGATCACTGGTATTCTACTCTTAAACTTTCCTTTCTCAAATGAAAAGCAAAGAGCTTTACAGCATTGTGTGGAGGAGAGAGTTGCAGTGTCGTCCTGCTCTCACTGAGGGAAGATGGTCTCTTGGTACTGGTATTTTTCTGCATCTGACAGCATTGTTTTTCTGCATGTCAGGAAAGGACAGAAGAAAGTACAGGGAGCATAGAGAAATTATCTGGTTTTAATTGCCATTCCTTGGTGCTGTCTACTTGCTCATGTTTCACAGCTGAATATATTTTAAAGTACTATTGGATTCACTAAATGGCCCATGGTAGGGGTTACTGGTACTTTCCAGCTCGTAGAATTTGCCTTTGCATCTTTGCATTAATGCTTTGGTTTTAACCCAGCAATGAACTCATTTTATTTGTCTGTTCTAGTGTTTTAGTTGTCTTCTACAGTCTCAACAGTGGAAGAAATAGATCCATCTGCTCATCTTTTGTGGGTTGTTCATTGCTGTCTGAATTGAAATACTGCTGTTTTAAAAAGTTAAAAAGATCAAGGGAAGGGAATTCAATGTTTTCATTCAGTTAGAGCACGATTCAGGTTTTTGAACACATTTTAATAGAAATAAACATTTTAAAATTATAGAGGCATCTTGTCAAAGAAGGTAAAACCACATATATTCTGGGTTTTTTTTTTCTCAAATGTCAAACCCACTATGAGAAAGAACCTAAATAAAAGGACATATGGTAAGAGAAAGTAATAGTTTATAGTTGGATTAAGTTAACAAAAGTAAATAACAAAACTCCAACTTGTGTCTTTCTTCTAGGTTAGCAAGTCTTTCATAACATCCTACGTAAACATTCAAATACTTAAAAATACTTAATCAAAATAGGTTCTTTTCTAAAACTATGTATATTACATGTAAGCAGAAATACTTTGCCCAGGTTGTTTATGTGAAGAATTGTAACAATTACCCTCTGTCTGTATTTGAGCTTGAGTAGTTTACATTTAAAAATACAAGAGAGAATTATAGAATGGCTTGATTTGGAGGGGACCTCAGATTGTCTCATTCCAACCCCTCTTGCCATGGGCAGAGACAGCTTCCACTAGACCAGGTTGCTCAGGGCCCTAGCCAACCTGGCCTGGAACGCTGCCAGGGATGGAGCATCCAGTGTCTCTGGGCAAACTGTTCCCGTGCCTCACCACCCTCAGAATTTGAAATGTATTCCTAATGTCTAATTTCAGCCTACCCTCACGCAGTTTAAAACCACTGCCCCCTAACCTGTCATGACATGTCTTGTCCTTTTCCAGCTTTCCCATAGGCTCCATTAGGTACTGGAAGGTGCTCTAAAGTCTCCTTGGAGGCTTATCTTCTCTCTCAGCCAATGTTCATAGGAGTTTCATAGGTAGTTAAGCAGACGTTGTCAAGAAAATTGTTTTGTCTCTATAAAATATGCTCCTGAAATCTTCACATCCAAATAAGGAGGGGTAAAATAATCTTTAAAAAATGCCTTATTGACATAATTGAATAGAAATGTGTAACTAACATCGATGCTGTCACTTGGATATGTATGCTGTGATGTTGTATTGAAGAAGCAGAAGATAGATGATGTCTTGTGTGAAAACATTACTGCCAGCTAATCACTTACTATGCTCTGAAGAGGCAAATTAGTAATATAAATAAGAAGGCATTTTGGGGGTCAAACGAAGCAGAAAGGCTTGTAGGGTAGTGAAAATAAATTGCTGTTGCTTTTCATCCCTTCATAATAATTTATTTGGTAGCTCTGCTTTGCTACACTCATAGTGCCCCCTTTGCTTCGGCTGAAGTGAAATGAGATGTCAGCACAGTTTGACATAAAATTTATTTTAAATTGGGTGGGGTGGTCTAGGGAGGAGGTGCTTCACTTGCCTTAAATACTTTTACTCCAGCTCATACATCTGCCAAATGAGAGCTGGAGACTCTTAATTGGTTTAATATATTTGTTCATTCTTTTAGATTAGCCTATGGTCCTGATTCCATACATTGGTCTTGAGATTTCAGAAATGGGTACAGGACAGAAGCTTTAGCAGAAAATCAAGTGGTAGCTGAAGACCCACTGAAATGCGTTTTTTGACTTTGTTTACTCAAAGGATAATGATATGAGATATGGATATGAGATGGTAACTCTGCAGCATGAGCAGTGAAGGGACACTTCAGTAGCATCAGCATCAGTGTACCAGAACAGAAATGAATCTGCCCCAGCAATAGTTCAGCAGAGCAGGGCTAAGCTCAGTGAGACTGAACAACAGTGGTGAACACAGAGAACTGTCTTTAGGTACTCTGGTGAGGTATCTGGAAAAGTCTTTCCAAGGGCTTTTGGAGCCATATTGGGAGTGTAGGGATATTCCTTGGGATTGACTTTTGTAGCATATCTTTGTTTTCTGGGGAATGGTTCCTTTCTGGATTAATGCCATTGCCTTTTTTAAGTGTGACTGCAATGAAAATAAAGCTTGAATAATTCTCCATCTGCCTTCCATAGTACTTTTCTATTAATAGATTGAATTACTAGTGGTCTAAGGACTATATTATCACATTAGCTCTTTAAGTATTACTCCAAACTATGCTTTACAAAAACAAGTTTGCAGTAAGATAGCTATGATGAAGAAATAAATTTGTTGCCCTGTCCTGTTTATGTTCCAGGTTAGGGAGCCTCTACTTAGAAAACAGAAAACAAAATTTGACATCATAAATAGATTAATGTTAAGTTAATGATAATTAATGTCAAGTTAATGATAATTTCAAGTTACCATGATGATAATTTTATTAAAAGATGCTTTGTAGAAAGTAGTGAAACTTTGCCTGAGTTTTGTAGGCCTGTGGAAAAGCAGTTAATTGATGCCATGGTACATTTTTCTCAGTAACTAATACTTGGCTTTTGAAACCAGATTCATTGCTATAGATTATAAACACTTAGTAGAAATGAGTTTGAGTGCTACTAATGCCACTGTTACACTGCAGTCTGAAATTTTACACAGACAAAATTTCATGTGCTCCTAAGGATAAAGGCTACCTCTGCTTGGGCAACCTGTTGTTAATTCCTTACTCCTTAACGCTGAGGACATTTCCCAGGATCTCTGAAAAAAATCCAAAGTCGTCTTGTTGTCAAACAATTTGAATCCTTGTTAATTTTTATGAATAAGAATTCATTATCTTAATCAAACAGCTGAAGCTTGAACTGGATGATTTTCTGAGAATGATCTCGCCTTTTTGAGTTGCTGGGTTTTGCTGGTATTTTTGGGAGTCTGTAAATTAAGGTAGTTAGTGTTTCAAGAGTTAGTGTAGTTTGGGTATGGATCTTGTGTAAGTAGATTGCAAATCTGTTTGCAAGCTGCACCTCCTAATCTTCTTAAAAGGATTTTGACAAGAGAGTTAATGCTTATTAGTACTTGTCAGCTAGTGCACAGTCAAGAAAAAAAAGAAATGGGTGAAAATCTTACATGAAATATTTCAAAAGAGAGCTATTGTAGTTGATTGTAGTTTGAAGTGGTAAGAGGATGTCACTGTGATGTAGAAGCAAGTGCATACACCAGAGAATTATTATTCTCATCTGTAGTTAATAAGGGTAAATTGGAGTATAAACGGGAATAGAGATTTAATACCTCCTAGACATAATTTAATAAGAAAGATGAGATACTGAGATTCAATACAAGTAGGATCTGGGTTTCTTCACTGAGACAAAGATTTGGATTCCTTAAAGTCTTTGATTTCAAAGAGGAATCTTTAAAAAATCTTGTTGGAAGGAGTGCTTACATTGTTAGTATAACAATAAAGTGAATGAAGATATGTATTTGTGAACTTAGTTTTCATTCATTGTAGCTACCTGACTTCTGTTCATTATGAGCTCATCCACTGGCAAAAAAGGACACTTTTGTCAGTAAAATTAACTAGCATCATTTGAGTGAGTGATAAGTCTAATGACAACTAGCAGTTATTTCTCTTTCTGTTACGCCTTTATACATTAATAATTTCTTCATCTGATCCAGCATGATGTCCTAGGAAAATTCTGTTTCTGTCCTTAGTGGTTTGCATTTAGTCTCTTATAATTATTTTTTTCTAATGCTGTCAGCTAGTGTTTGGCTTACCTGCTGATTCATAATATTTGATAATCACATTTAAAGTGTGTTACAGAGCTAATTCACTTTATTTTCATAAATATGTAGTAATATGCTGAACCTGCTGAACTGCTGGTCTACATGCTACTTTGTTGTAGAGGGTTCTGCAATTTTATTTTTCTTGAAATCCTATTCTTTTTAAAAGGCGTTGCTGTCAAAGATTTAAAATATTTTAAATATTGGAATTAAAACTCATGACTGTTACCAATGAAAAATTAAGATTCTTACTTGCGTATTTAATTTGTCCAACACTAAGCAACAGAAACTTCATGGAAGAGAATGGTCTTGAAGTTCTCCTTCTTCCTTGAAAGTGAGAAGAGGAAAATCAGTTTATAGTCAGTAAAATGCAGAAGAGAAGCTTGGATGCAGGAGTTACTGTTGGTATCTAATGCTTTCCATTTAGCCAGATAGAGAACATTTGTTTTGGGCACTGATTCCAGGGATCTCTTGTGTGTTTGAACATCTCTTTGTTAATGTTTTCTTACAAACCTAAAACTATGTATCATTCTAAGATCTTTAGGATAAGGACTGTATCATCATACCTACTTGTACAGTGATGCCGCATTGAGACTTCGGTGCTAAGTGGGCTTCTGGACACTGCCTGTGTTGAAATGATAAGACTCATGCCCAAGTTGATAAAGGGCAGTTGTTAAGATGTCTTGGAAGGACTTCATTATGTGGTGCAAAATGCATTTTAATTTGTTTATATTATGGTGTGATATTTAATGCAAACATTTTTAAGCTTGGTGCATGCAGGTGGGGATGCTTCTCTGATTAAGCCCTTGTCTTTTGCTTTCTTTTCTTTTGTTTTCTTGAAGGCCTTTGGAACGTTCTAGTGAAGATGTAGATATAATATTCACACGACTGAAAGAAGTGAAAGCTTTTGAGAAATTTCATCCAAACCTTCTCCAGCAGATATGTCTCTGTGGATATTATGAAAATCTGGAAAAAGGAATCACATGTAAGACAGCTTCATATGATTATGTATTTTATGTAGATAAACTTGGGGGTTAGACTGTGATTGTCTTTAGGAGATTGATGAGAGCAGAATCAGTGGAATGTTTACAGTCACAGTCATGGGGCAAGGCAGGACTAAAGTGCTGCTTGCTCTATAAATGCAGTGTGTACTGACTCTATGGTAACAAGGCATACAGTAGGCTGTCAGACTCTACCACTCTTCTGTTGAAAGATTACAAGCCACTCATTGGACTTAAGCCTCATTCTTCCTCTGTAAACTTATTATTGATTGCTTTTGCCAGTGCTTTGTGCTGTCAGGGACAAAGGTGTGTCAGCAAGGCACATCACTGATAGTGTGTGGTTTCCAGGCACCCTGGCACAAGCCAGACCTGCAGAGCTGCAAACTGCTGTGGGGTGCAACAGCTCCGTGCCTGTGCTGGCAGCCTGTGGGCCTGATGTAGGTGCACACTTGTGCTTGGTTTGTGTAGCTGAGATGGAAATAAGTGATAGTCCTGTGATGGGAATGCATACCAGGGGAATAGCTGATGAAAACCTGTGGTATTAGTAAAGTCTCAGAAACACCTCAGGTAAATCTGGCATGCAGCAGTGGGGTTTGCTTAGAGTAATAGGGATTTTGATGCTCTGTAATCACACAGTTGGAATGCCTGGACATCAGTCTTGCAGTTGCTGATCAGCCAGAACTCTTACTGAATTCATTGGTAGCTGTGTCTGCACTGGAAGATTGTGACTTTCAAAGAGACATTGTTCAGAAAAACTTCTTCCTTGTTTGTATTGTTTCTTTGGTTAATTAACTAAGAGAACAGTAGAACAGAAGCAAACTGGGGAGAAGAGTGATGCAGTTCTATGTGCTTTCATTGTTTCCATAGTATATTGACTAGTTTACTAAAATATGTGCTTTTCAGTGGCGCTGGAAGTATTACTGTAATAGTAAATAAGTAATCTCATATGGCAAATTGGATGGTGCCAGCAGTGACTGCAGTATTGCAGTAATATGTGAGAAAATGTTTATTACTGTTGCTAAACTTAAAGTGATAACTCTTATTTACAAGATTTCATCTTTCCAGTATTCCGTCAGGGTGATATTGGGACGAATTGGTATGCTGTCCTGACAGGATCACTGGATGTGAAGGTGTCTGATACAAGCAACCACCAGGTAAAACATTTTTCATTGCAACCATCTGGTCAGTAGTACAAAGGAAGAATATAATTTATCGTGAGGTAGATACCGACACATTCTATACAGATATTTTGTCATATCACAAGGATGTATATGTTTCTCTGAGTCTCTTTTAGTCTTAGTTGTCCTTGGACTAAGGAACACAAGTCATGCCATTGATCTCAAGAAACTGAAATGTAATGCTCTGGAAGTGGTCTACATTTCCATGTGAAACAAGTCTTCTCTATCTTTTCTAGTAGTGCTGTTGAAGTTGTGCTAAAGATCGGAGTGTTTGTAATTAATTCCCTAGAAATGTTTTAATTCAGTTCTTCTTCAGGAAGTTCAAAGCAAACCCGCTAGCAGTGCAGTCTAATAACAGCATAATGCAATCTCCACTGCAGAAATGGGGAAGTAGTGTAGTAATAGCAGACTATTGGAACTGCTGCCATGTTGGACAAGAAGGGTACAGGTAATACCTATTCAGTGTTAAGAAACAGAAGAACAAGTAAAAGTCTCCCCAAATTTAATGTGGTTTCTCAGTATCTTGGTGCCCCTGGATTTATAAAATTTAGAGTAAATAAATATCCAAAGGGATGAGATAGGTCTCCTGTCCAAGTTGTCTATTGTCATGCACTTGCTGCTGTGAGCTTAGTCTTCTGGGAGGGCATCCTGTCCTTTCCCTGCTCCCATGTTTGAGACCAGTGATTGTCCCATGAAGTAGCTTGGCGTGGGGTTGTACCTCTGATAAGGGACTCATTGTGCCTTTGCATGAGTATTATAGCTATCTAGGACCTTACAGAGACTACTACCCGTTTTCCCCACCTGACTGAATATAGCATGTGTAGGGGAAGGATGGTGGTGGTGTATTCTTTGCCCAAAGTTTGGCTGATTGAGGAAAGTTTTTTGCTCTTAGCAGAAATTGGATTTTTTTCACTTTGTTGAGTGTCGCATCATCATCGAAATTGGGTCGGAATGCAAGTCAAGGCAGTGTGGGAGTACTGGGTGTTTCTATTTGCTGCAGTAGAATGGTAGATGCAAAAGGAACTTCTTTCACATTATTTTTAGCAACTGTACCAAGTAGAGATTGATTGAGAGTATAATTAGCTTAATTTGAGCAATTCTTGTCATGGCCTGGCTGTCATTGGTATTGTCACAATTTGGAACAGTACTGGGCTCTTATGAGACCCTTTTCTGTGGATGTCTAAAGCAATCAGGATTTTCCAGTGTTTGCCAAGAGATGGCACTACACTGTTGTGAAGAATCAATGCTCTTTTACTCAGAAAGTAATACATCTGCACAATCTGGATGTTAAATTAAGAATCTCTTTGGAGTGTTGATTTGTTCCATTAGATGGAGTATGGAACACTTCAGTTTCTTAATGAATATAATGTAAATATTTTTTTCTGCTTGTTCAGGTTAACTTCATATTCCTGCCAGTAGGAAGCTGTTGAACTACAATTAATGTAATTCTAGTTGTAGAAATTATATTCTGCAGTTACTTCTTACCTCACATTTTCTTCTCACATGAACAAGGAACTGAATTCTTACCACTGCCTAGTTGCCCTAGAATATAGCCTCGCTGCCAAAAACATGGCAGCCTATGCATTTACCGTTCCTGTCTGGATAATTTTCATGTTTGGGGACTCCTAAATACTATTTGAGTCCAACATCTTCTCTGGTTTTGCTCCATCTTGGGGTTTATACCATGTCCCTCCTTGTCCATTCTTGGTCTCCTTCTCATTCTCCTGCCTGTAGCCTCCTGGACGTGGTTCCTGTATAGTCTTGCCTGTACTTTCTTGTTGGCCTGGTCATTCTTGAATTTGAAGTAGCACTGTCTAGCACTTGCTAGCACTCCCTGCCTACTGTGCACCCTACAAACCCAAATGGTGGAAGCAGTACAGTGTTGTATTGCTGTCGGGGCAGCCCTGGCACACTCAGTTGACAGCATTGACAGCTGGGAATGGGTGCTTAAGATGTAGGAGTACTTGGAGCGCATTTTCCAATCACATCACCCAGGAGCGAAGGGTTCCTCTGCAAAATCGTAATAATGACTAATTGCTCTGCTGTTACTATTATACCATAAATGGCACAAATGCTAATGAGAAACTTCCAGCAGAGCAGGACAGATACAGCTGTTTACCCGAGTATAGAAGTTTGTAGACTCATGTAAAAGTACAGGATTATTCTGTCTTTCCTGTAGGAGAGAAGCTAACTTGGTATTTAGGTTTCTATTGGTTAAAATGTCTCTAGACATGACTAATTAATTTGGACACCGTTTAATACTCCAGATAAACAGGAGGTTGTATTAGATGACCTCCTGAGTTTTTTTGAAGTTTGAATTATCCTGTGATTATGTGATGATGCCTACAGTGTTAATGTAAATACAGAAAATTAATTCTCTTGATTAAAAACACGAGTCCCATTTTGCTAGGTGTTTATCTGTGTACTTGGAAAACTTAAATTTTATCAAGCTTAGGAATTCATGGATTGTGTAACAGCTACCATCTACTACCTCTCTCTGTAGTCACCTTTGGTGATTGGTAGCTTTCTCCCATTAGAAGTGCAGTAAGTTATGGTGCACCTGGTCCCTACTAAAAATGTCTTAATTGCCTTTGTTCCTACAGAGGCATGTAGGAACACATCTTGCACTAGAAATTAAATTTTTAAGTACTAATGGATCAAGACTTCAGTGTAGCTAGTGAGGTATTAATTCACACACATTCTTGCTGCCCAGCAGCTTACTAATGTAGACACCTGTGATTTCTCTCAGAAAATATTAGTAATACTGATTAGGACCAAGTTGAGAATTCATGTAAACAGAAATATTTATATTAGATATTATTTGATATTACAATGACGAGAACTATTACATCTATTGTTTGACTTTAATAGAGACAGACAGAGATAATTAGGACCTCATGAAGCCTTGTTTTCGTAGTGGTTTGGAAAAATCCTTTCTGCTTGCAAAGCGGTGTTCTGTCACGAGAGGGCAGTGTTAGAACACAAAGCAAGCCCGAGTGCGGGCGGTGTTTGTAAATCCTACGCGGCTATTTGCCATACACACGTTTTAAAGAGTTTGGCCAGAGAAAATTTTGCTGTTACTGCTAGTTTTGTTCCACCGAGCTGGTAAAATGTGCTGGTAATTTCATATGCCGTTGGAATGGCTACGGAGATTTGACAGGATTACTCATCCAGTAGGTCCTGAGTGGAGTCTGCTGTCTGTAAAAACGATTAGTGGATTTTTCTGGGCATTCAGCAATCAAGAAGAGATCAAAGAGAACTTTTTCTAGGGTGAAAACGTCTCAATGTGAATTCCAGAGGTAACTGTAATGAAAACTGTTTTGGTCTTGCCTCAACTTTTTTGTAACAAATACCCTGATAAATACAGTACTTAAAAGTCATAGAAAAATGTAGTTAAGTTACCTTCAAAATAAACAGAAAATGCAGCCTCTATAGAATATATCAGAAAGAGGTCTGTGCCCTCAGTTATGATCAGATTCTGAATTTCATTTTTATTTGACATTGTTGCCTACCCAATGTTGAGATATCTAGTAATGAAAGTTTTTCTTAGGGATGTTCCTCGTTTGGTGTTGTCTTAAAAACATTGCTGACAAATTGCCTTGTGTATGTTTCATTTTTGAACCCTGTTTTGAAGCTGAACAGTCTAAGGATGACTGTTGGCAATGCCTCAGAATAAAGCTGGGAATAAATGCATTTTGACAAAAGCATCAGTGTTACAATGTTGTCAGATTCTGCAACACTGTGTTTTCCTGGATTAGATTCAGAGCCTTTTACCCCAAAGATTTTTCTGATAAACTATGAGGGAATGAAGAGAAAAAAGACAAAGACCAAATAACAATAGCAACGCAGATCTGGGTTTTTTCCTGCATTTTGCCAGCTCAAACAGAGTGTGTGCTGGGGCCTATTGCCAGCTTATCTTGCCTCTGTTATGGTGGGGTTTTTTAGGCAGGTCAGTTTTTAAAAACAGACAAAATTGAACATAGGGCATTGACTTAAAAAACAATTAGCCTGTTTTAGAAAAGCTATAAAGGAGGAGCTGTGAGTGCTTGGATGGTACAGCAGTGTCAGCTGTAAGAAGATGCAGAGGGCTGGGGATGAAAAGTCAAATAAGTTAGTGGGGTTGCTGACAGAAGAATGACTGAAGAAAGAGGTTCAGATGTTCATGTAAGAAATGGAAGAATTTCACAGCTCTTTGAAACTGAGGACAAAGGAGGTGTGTGATAAGGTGAAGTGGCAGCAAGGAAAGGGATTTAAACAGGGTAGTCCTTGCAATACTGCTTTCAGTATGTAAATGCCATTATGTATTTTGGAGATAACCTGTATGAAGTTGTGACATAGGTTTGTACTGTAGTTAGTAGTATAAATACGCCTAAGGTAGTTTTAAATTATTTAGTTTGAACATGAGAACTGCTGTACCCATTGTAACACAGAGATTGGCTGAACTAATGTACTAAGCTGAGAAGCAGTGTGTTGGCTCATGCTGAGCTCCAGTGTTGTGGTTGTGCTTATTGAAAGTTAATACAGAAAAATAATTTCACTTCTCTCTGTGACATAGGTGACATAGGAAGACATCTTAGACATTGCAGGTAGCTTTTAGAAGATCAGATAGAAAGGTATGGAAATAATGAATGTGGTATTACTGTATAGTTAATCTGAACCATACATATTTTAATTAGGTACTAAAAGAGAAGCTGATCGCAGTTTTTGTAGAAGCATAATGCCTTCTTCAAGCAAATAACCTTGTCTTGTGGAGAGGGTGGCCTAACATGTTTGCAAACTGCAGTTTCAGTGTATTCAAAAGGTATTTCTATGTTATTGTTAGAAATAGTTTGATAAGTATTTCCTGTCTGAATGGCTGAAACACTGAAGTGAAGGTAATGGAACAGAAAAATCGCTTAATACTTTACTTTCATCTTTGATTTCTCTGTTATAGAAGGAAATTTTTGCTGAGGACAAACTGAACTGTGTCAAAGTAATAACAAGCAAACTTCTTAAAATGCCAGCTTTTGCAAATCTCCAGTTAAACATAGAGATAGTATGATGTCCTAGAGAGACACAGATAGACAGGTGAGATAAAGATGCAAGGTATAGGAAAATTATGAAATCAAAAGCAATCTAGCTACATCAGCTCCCTTATAAACTCAAAATGTTGAACAAACTAAAATTTTGAAGGAACATCCTTTGAGTCTAGCACTAGTAATGTTTCTCCCTGTTTTCTTCATTTCTCTTTCCAGCACCATGATTTTATTTACACACAGTACAAAAATTGTTTGCCAGCTTGAGAAATAGAAGGGGTCACAAGTCAAGGAGGAGGGATACAGGATGATCCTTGAGGTGCTGGGGAAGGGAATAAAGCAGAGCCTTGTTTCTGATTCTCATCCATTCCATAAAATGGTCTTGCCAATTCAATAATGTTTTGGATTGATGGGGGGGGCTGGGTGAGGGAAAGGCTTAAGAATGCTTTCCCTGCATATGTCTCACGTGGCAGTAAGAGTCAGTGAAACTGAATACACAAATAGCCTCTGATTTGAACACTACTGTTTTATAGTACAGAGGACAGACAGCAATGGGAGCAATCTCATCTTTCCAAGTTTCTAATACTTTTAAATAGCTGTGTGAATGTTAGCTGGTTACCAGCCACTAGAACACCCTGCTGCTTCTGGGATTGCAGAGGGGAACAGCAAACAGAGTTTTGAGCTGCCAGCAATCCTCCTGAAGTCTTCACTGAACAGCAGGAGATTCTTGAGTGTAAGGTTAACAGGCGTAACAGGAAACACACCTGATTCCCCAGGAGGCTGGAGATTATAAACAAGGGGTAGCGAGAAAATAGGGCTCTGAAGCCTCAAAGAAGGCATATAGGTCTGCACCCCAGCTGGCTGTGAAACTGCATCTCTGTGGAGAACTGTGATGGCTGGGGAAAAAATCTCAAAGAACTTGATGTGACACATTAGGTTTTAGCTTTTATGTTTTTCAAATTCTGTACTGCTTTAGTGTGTAGTTCTGAGCTTCATATTAAAGGATGGTAAGCTCTCTTCACAGAGTAGCTAGAAAAAACAATGCCTTCTCTAGCTTGGGACAAAGGACAACTGATCCAAATTTTCAGACCCAAGAGCATAAACAAGGTGGACTAAAGAGAAGACAACAAGAAGGATGGGACTTCATAACTTAAAGCTATAATTGCACAAGTACCTCCAATATGATAATGGACCGGAACTTAGGAAAGTGAGAGACGTTGTGACTGGGTGTCCATTTTGTGACCATTTTGGTTTATCTCAGGTGTAGCCCTGGCTGGGTGCTTGTGCTGCCCAGGTGTATCCATTGAGGCCTTTTAATGAATAGCTACTTTATTCTTTAACTCCATCTAGCCTCTGTTCTAGGTCAGCCTTAACAAGGCATTGGATGGAAGCGTGGATTTGCCTTTAATGAATGTAGATAGGACCATTCCAGTCTCTTGACCTAACATCCCACAGTATTAATTTATTCCTTAAAGTTAACAACTTCCTCATCAAAACTTACCTTATAAAGTAATTTCTTAACAATTATCCTTTTTTCTTTTCATGTCTGTTCTGTCATTGTTCTTTAGGGTTGTACACAGTCAGAGAATGTGAAATGTTTAAAATGAGTTGTATTTTTTGAAGGGAGGGGAGTGAGTGAGAAGTTACAAGATGTGAACAATGTTTATGATCTACCTACAGGAAAAGTTTCTTTTATGCCAGGCTGTTTGGCCAGGCTGTTTGGTCGTCCTGTCCTGAACAGAGCTCTTTTATCTGAACTTTCTGGATGGAGAAATCCAGGAATAGGATTGAGAATAATGTATTGTATATCTGGAGATCAAATTTTGTATGAGCAGTAGGCCCATTTTCTTTGTAGCTCCTTTGAATGCCATTGTGAGTATCGTAGCATGCATAGAGTGTTTCAGCCCTGAATTGTAAGCTTGGGAAGGCAGATTTCAGTGTATAAACTGTATTATAGTCTGTTTGTAGAGGCTTCTATTTAGGTGCCCAGGTGCTTATTCCCAAATATTCTTTCTTTTAAAGAAAATCTGTTCTTACTTTCCTTCCTTGAATATTTATTTCTGACAGTTGGTAAATTTTTCCTAGATGTTCTCTGAGACATAATTGATTTTGTTTTCCTGAACACACAATTTTATATGGTAACATCTGTGTAAGAGCAATTTGCTATGGTTCAAGGAACTGACTATTATGGGCTTTTGTCTTTGTATTGCAATTACAAAGCTACTAACCTTATCTTAATAACATTTGCCTATTATGACTTATTAGATGCATGAAAGAAAAGCAGGGCAATTCTAAAGACAGAAAATGATGCTGAAACATGCTCATGTATCTCTCCTGGATTATCAGCCATGAGGACAACAAATGTTTTTGCTTTGATTTTTGTAGAGGTTGCATAAATTCTACGTTTTAGAATTAAACTATACTTCTAGTCTTGTATCAGGTAAAGTTAGCATGTGTTTTTCTGTGTTTATTTGTAATTGTCTGCATGCACATGCAATATGTTTTCTATGGTTAAGTACAGTTTGTGTGATTTTAAATTTTTTATGCTGTTGCTAATTTTTTTAATTACTTAACAGACTGTCAGATAAGGCCCATCTCAGAAAAAAGACATGTGAGTGTTCAGCTTCAAGCCTGTGATGAGGAACAAAGCAACTTTTGAGCTGAAAATAGAACATGTATCTAAAGATCTTGATTCAAGCAAGTTCTTTAATGGCTACTTGTTTTCTCTGCAGTAGCTCATAATTTTTATTGGAACTACTACAGAGGAGTTCCTGGCCAAGGGAGATTCATTTAGACATCGTTTAGAATGGCATGTGCTCATATAGACTCCTTTGAAGTGGACTTTGCTGCTTGTTTGGGACCTTCTTATTGCTCTGTACATGGATCCATTTTTTCCAGGTTGTTTGAACTTTAATAGTTTTCTTGAAATCCCTGATTTATGTGAATTTTTTTTTTTGTCTGGTAGTTAATTGACAAACATCCATTAACAACTGAAAGATTTGCTGGCGTTTTCAACAGAAGGGCCAAGAGTTGTTCAATGGTACAAGCACATTGCTTGTACAATAGAGAAATGCAATATAAATACAAGAGGATATTATAATTGAAAGTTACGTTTACGTAAGAGAAACATAACAGGTGAATTCTCTTTCTGATGAGGGTAGCCTGTGTAGGACAGAAGTTTATTTTCCAAGATTGCATTTCTGATTCTAGTTACCTTCTCATGACCTCTGAGATTTCTAAAGATCTCATCATCATGGCAGTGTTTAGAGACAGATTAACAGAGATCATAGGTTTTTATAAAGATGAAAGTGATTCTTGTGTTCTCAGATTTGCATTCAGAAATGTCTTAATTCAACTGATTAATATAAAAAACAGAAGTCCCACTTTTGTCCATGTTAAAGCTTCCCATGTTGTTTACCAGCACACTGATTTTTTTTGTTGTTGACATTTAAATTAATTTTCTTTTTAAGCAGATTGCTGAAGAATCTCAAGGCAGTGCTATTAAAAATAAGACACAAAAACTCTCAAAACATCCTGAAATATTTAATGTGTCTTTTTTTTTTTGAATCAAAGGATGCTGTGACAATATGCACTCTTGGAGTAGGGACTGCTTTTGGAGAGTCCATTCTGGATAACACTCCTCGCCATGCTACCATTGTTACCAGGGAACATAGTGAGCTCCTTCGGATTGAGCAGAAGGACTTCAAAGCACTTTGGGAGGTAAGTTCAGATTTATTTGCAGTTAATACAGAAAAAAACGCCTTGACTTTGAAAGTATTTGTAATATAGTATTGTTGCATCGCACGTCGGACGAGCCCTCGTTGCTGCCGGCGTGTGCAGCCCTGGGACCGGAATCAGCTGGGAGTGTGGCAATAAAATGTATTGGATGGGAACGACTAAAGGGCTAGAAACAGAAAGCTTTAATGTGGATAAAGAAGGCGCGCGAGGGCGCAACACAAAACATAAACAGCACCGATGTACATAGCTCCTTGAGAAGACCCCCAACTGGGACAAACACAGCCTTCTATAAACATTATCTGAGGGCAGAGAGCCAATGAACAGAGAGAAACAGAAACAATACCTTAGATGGAATACAAGAGTAACTAATCAGAGGGCAGGGTTCAGAATATAACCTTATAAGGAATAACTTAATCTGCATAATGATCCCATCGTCCTTTTCTTCTCCTTCACTTCTCGCTGTAACCTCACTAGCGATTTCTCAGTGTCCAAGGTCTAATGTTGTTACTTGCTGTGTGGCCTGCCCACAGCCCATCCTCCCTAGGATGGACCACCAAGTAGTATGAAGACATTTATATCATAAGCAAAGTATAATTATTCCAAATTAGTTTGGGAAAAAAAGAAAAGTTTTTACTTCTTTAGTCCTTCATATTACGTACGATTGCATACTCCTGTATTTCTTTCCTGTGGGCCTCTTGTAATGAAATAACTTAGGTGGTAGAATTTCTGGTAGAATTTATTTATATACTGCAGGTGTTGCTCTCTTAGCCTTAATTTTGCTTTTATTGCCAGCTTTTATGAGGATAGTATTCTATTGTACTCTGAAATTTTAAATTATTCATTTACTCCTGTCTCATCACCAGCTGTAAGGGGTTTAGAATTTGCAGATGGATCAAGATCACTTAAAAATTGACTTACTGATTACATGTGAATTCCCTTAAAACTTTCCTTTGTGGAGAACGTACTGCTGAGTTTCTTGATTCTGTAGTCTGTCTACTTTGGTATCCGTGCAGAGAAGACTTCATTAACATGTTGCTGCACAGAGTTACTGAGCTTGAATCTGTTTGCATTTTTGCAAGCACTACATTTGATTTGAAAAGTGTTGTGGGAACTGGAAGGTATCCTGTTGGCCTGGCCTACACTATTGCCAATTTGTACTTCCAGTTTGTTTGAAATGGTGACTGTACAAGTGTAGGTGTTGTGCAGAGCTGCCAGATGGTGTGACAGTGTCCTAAAGTTGCAGGGCTAGGGACATTAATTATATTTAAGAAATAGGTGCTGGTTCTAACATTTTAGTTCAGCTTCTAACTGTGGATGGATGGATTTTTTTTCTTTATGCTTTCCTGCGAAAGAGCAGTATTATACTGCAAATAATTGTCTTAAAGCAGTTCTAATGTCAGTATCAGAAAAAAAATCAAATCCCCAATAGTTAATGGTGCAGCATTGCCAAGGCATGAAAGACCACAATGTGAGTGAAACATGTTTGCCACTGAATGCCCTGACAATATCAGATATCATTCTTTAATTGCATGGCCAGGATTTGTACTGGTTTTTGGCAGGTTCTACAGCTAAATTAAAATATTTTGGCAAGTTCTACAGTTACTGAAGTTTTGCAGTTAAATTGAAGAATCTGACAAGGCAATATTTTTTTGCAGTTCACAGGGGTTTTTTTACAGCAGCTGCATTGTAGTTTCAGGCCTTGGCATGAAAAGATGAAATATGCCAGTGGTCTCATCTGTTTCAACATATGCAGCATTTGCCAGTAGTCAGAAATTTGATAATGTAGATAGTGCTTTACAAGATAATGATGGGGAGAATAAATCCAATTTTAGGTTTCTCTGGTAACATTTTTGTAAAAAAATCACTTTTAATTGGTATAAGCACAGTAATTTTTCCCATGCATATGAATTTCCTGCTAAGCATTCAGAGATTGTTCTCTTATTAGTATTATTTGGGGCATGGATGTTCCCTTTTGAATCATATATTAAAGTTGTTTTAAAAACAATTTCAACATAATTTGCTCTTTAATCACTAATACAGTTTTGTTTCTAGCACTTTTGATGATCTTGCTGAGTTTTTTGATGATAGATGCTTTTGTGGAAGGTGATACGTGTTAGAAGTACTGGAGTGGTCATAGGCAGCTTTAGCACACACCTTGTGTATTGCAGCTTTTTATGAAATTGAGCTGTAGAATGTGTCACAAATGCTGCAGGTGTCAGTCAGAGACCACTGTTTAGATTGTGGTGCTTCTTTGTCTTTTGTGCCATTTTGCAGTGAACTTCTCATATATTTTGATGCATTTTCTTTCAAGAAGGCTATCCCTGTACTCTCAGTGAGTGGAAAATTATTCAATGAAATACAGCTTTGCTGGTAGGTCTCAGATATAATAAAGTTGTTCGTTTTTTTCAAGGTAATATTTATTTCCTTGCAACCTGCTAATCCCAGAGTCTGCATAAACTGCAGCTAACATGTGATAAAGAGAGAATGTTTAAAATAGATGGAAAATTATGTAAGAAAATTTCCCCAAAATATACTAGCAGTAGCACCAGTACTATATTGTTAATATTATTGTTACCTGAAGAAAGGTAAATATTTTTCTAAAGGGAGACTTTTAATGTTTTCGATGCTGCATTGTTCTTTCAGCCTTATCCTAAGGTTCATACATCTTTGCTGTGACAAAGTCTGTATGAGGAAACTGTTATTGTTATGTGTCATTCAGTTTTTAATTGTGTCTAATGAAAACCCACTTAAAGTCAAAGTGGATCACAGATATTTAATACATATGGTACCATGGAAAAATGGGGAAAGGCAACAATGTCAGTTCATTACAGTCCAGATATTGTGAAAGCTAAAATCTACTGTGGGCAAATTTCAACTGTCCAAATAATGAGAATTTAATTCATGAAAGAAGTAGTTTATCCAGAACAAACACTGAATAATTCCAAAATAATATAATACTGTTGTATAAGAACAACAGAACAACCTAAATAAATTGTAAGGTTAGTATTCTTAAAATGGTTACTGATTTTATGTATGTAGAATTTTTATGATTAATAAATAGAAGTGCAAAAATGCAATATATGTTATTTTTTCATTTGTTAGTTTTTCCCCAAGAAATTAATTTTTGGGGAAATTTACTTTATTTCCTTGTTTTGAGGGAAAGAAAAAAACAAAACTCTGTTAACCAAATAAGAATCAAATAAGAATTGTTCCTACAGAAGAAAGAAAATCTAATACTGCAATTTTAAATATTTTTCTTAATTTTGATTGTGAATGTAATCTTGGAAAATGAAACAACAGAAATATGAAAAAGAAACAACAGTATTGGCTTTAATTTACTGTGCAACTAATCTGAAATGAGGTGTTCCTTCTTAACACTAAAAATTTGTTAATACAGAAGCCTACTGATGAAGTTCACATTTGCAACAAATATTTTTATATCTCTGCAGTTCTTTGAAAGACAATTATGTATCCGTTATGCTGCTTATGAAACTTTCAGTATATATCCTGAAACTAGATTTTGAGAGAAAGATTATCTATTTTAATTCTTTCTAAGTTTAGAAAGAATGTTTGGTATCTCTGAAACTTCATATTGTGAATTTGCAGACTTCTTTGAGTTTTGTTTAAATTGAAAAGTAACTTGTTTTGTATTAGCGGTATTGCTCTAAGAAGCAATTGAATTGGTATAATGATTCTCAGATTAGATATGTTTTATTGATGTACTTAATATTGATGTACTTAATGCACAATATGCAGTAAAGGTATTAATTTCTATGAGTGCTATTGTAGTTGGGTCTATACCTGAAAGAAAAAAAGAGAGCTATTACTAAACTGACTTCTTTTTTTTTTTTTTTAATCAGTATTAGTCTGCCAGTTTTTAAATTTAAATATTCTTTAAGGAAAAGATAGGATATTCTTTATCAAAAAGAATACAGTAAGGTGCCTTCCATAATACATGCAGCCCCATATTCAGTCAGCCCTTTAAGTACAGAAAAATTTTCTGTGACCTTCATTTCTATCAGTCAGGGAATGCTGGTCAAAACAAATGCCACTGTCCTGATAACAACAATTACCAGTTAAAATGAGCCAGTTTTTTCTCTAATGACTGTGTCTGTTGAAGTAGCATCCCTTTGGGGAACATCTGTTGATCTTCCCTGCTTACTCATCCTTGGACTCGTTGTCTATCAACGCTGTTACAGCGATTAAAGATGGTGAAATCCCGCACTGAATTCTCACACAGCTGAACACTATTCCCTGATGAAGAACTAGTCAGTTATGGGAATCACTGGTGATGCTCCTTTGTGCACCGACTGTCCCTGGCTTTGGTGTATGAAGAGCACTAACAAACATGAAAAAAAGTAACTTATTACTGTTACAACACTGTAGACTTTCAAGATACTCTATGAATCTCTAGAAAAAAATACTGTTTGTGTTGATGAGGGCTTGCTTTCCTTCCTCAGCATGTATAAGTGATTGTGGTGCTAGCTACCTTGCCCAAGGAAACTACTTCAAAGTACAAAGGAAAATACATCCAAAAATAAACATGAAAGCAGAAGGTTACACATGGGGAGCTCTGATCACGCACATCCTGTTGAGCACTACCTTGCTCCACCCCTAATAACTGGATTCTTTTAAACAGAGTAGGAGGGAAATGAATGCATATGAGCAGTGTGATCATTACAGAAGTTCTCCATACTTCATCCTCGAGCTTTGTCTTTTCATGCAGTTGCAAACTGATTCAAACCCAGACAGGAAGGGAGTGAATCTGCTGACAGATGACTTATTTTTAGAGGTCTTTCCTACTGCAGTATATTACTCAGCCTTCCTTGGATAACATACAAATAACCAATTTCCTTTTGTGTGGAGTAAGACTGTGTTAGAAGTTACTGAACATGCCTTGAGAAACACTTGAGTAAATGAAGAACAGCTATTACTTCAGTATGCAGTGACTTTGGAGAGAGGGAGTCTTGGCCCCTATAAGG